AAAATCAGTATGCTTCCCGTATGCCAATATATTTCGTCATAAATATTAATTTTATCAAACTAATTAGATTATTCTAAGTTCTTAATATGGATAAGGCATGAAACGTTGGAGGTATCATATATTAACCAATTCTTAGTTTGATCATACATTTAATTTTAATCCGATATTATTCACTGCTTAGTGATTATATGTTGTTTGCTTGATGAGGTATTATATTTTTTTCAGGTATTATAATTTGTGCTTTTGTTGGGGTTGCAAAATTGACATGCTCTGCTTGACATATTCAAACCTACAAGAATTCAAGTTCTTCTAATTATTCTCTATTCAACTATTGTTTGGTGTGTGTTCTCTTTGGATAATATATAATACTCTGTAATGGTATACACTTATGGTCGTCAATGCATTGCTGCTAATCTACTGTACATGAGCAATGCAAAATATGTTATGTGTTTTCCTCAATTTGTTGCTTGACATTTTAATGAGCATTTGACCAATAGATATGTGATAAAATAAGAGTTTTTGTCATTTTTAGTCGTCCGACTATTATGTCTTTGACACTTTTGATACTCGACTTTGAATTTTTCCATTTTTAGTTCTTCGATTTTCATAAATTTGACACTTTTGATACTCGACTTTGGGTTTTTCCACATTTAGTCCTTCGACTTTCATAAATTTGACACTTTTGGTTCTTCAACTATTATAAAAGTAACATTTTTAGTCATCCATTTATTGTGTCAAATTCATAGTGGAAGGACTTAAAGAGTTTTAATTTTATAATACTTCGGGGACTAAATGTGGAAAACATTGAAGTCGAAGACTAAAAGTGCCCATCGCACAATAGTCGAGGACAAAATATGGAAAGATTGAAAGTCGAGTATCAAAAGTGTCATTGACCCAATAGTCGAGGGACTGAAAATGGAAAAAACTCGATAAAATAATACCCAATCAATGACTAAAATGTGCAATCTTTTTTCATTGATTAACACTTATTTTATCTAATAAGATCATAATACTCTAAATAAGTCTAATAAAAATAAACTAATGTCATTCTCGTTGCTCTGAGACTCACCAATTGTTGCCATGTAGCCTACACGCAATCACTGTCAAATACTTTTCTCTACATTCTATAGTATAATTTAAAATATAAAAATGTATTTTATCCCGTGCATGACACGGGTAAAGATACTAGTACGACATATTCAAAATTATCAGATCACAAATGTTATGTCTCAATTTATTTCTTAGAAGTTGTTCTTTTCACCTGACCTGTATGTTTCTGATCTGAAATTTTTAAGTTCTGAACTAATCTAATATGAGTTTTTCTGTTCTGATGTGATCGATGATCTGAATCTTTCTTATCTGATCTGAATCTTACTGATCTGGTCTGATCTGATCTGAATGTTTCTAATCTGATCTTAATCCTTCCGATCTGGTTTGAATCTTTCTGATCTGATTTGAATATTTCTATAATTATAATTATACTTATAGTTATAGTGTTCCTTTTCTACCCTTCTTCCGTATTGGAACGGACGAGAGTATTGGAACAACCCTTCCATTTTTTTAGCTGCGTAAGAGATCATTCCGTAAGGTAAGGTAACCGCTTTCCATGTTTGATCCCCTCTGCGCAAGGTAATTCTCCGCCTACCCCCTCCTTTTTTTCGTTTCATTTGTCTTCTACAGTTTTCTATCGTTGTCTCCGATTTTTGTTTCTGTCATTCATGGATTTCGTTTCTCTTTCTGTTTTTTTCGACCGCTCCAGTGATGTTGAAGTTAGATGGTGAATGGTTGTCTAATATATGGTTCCATAGTTCATATGTTGCTTTCGTTGACGTCCCTTTGCAGTCATTTGTTCCGTTGTTGTGCGAAATGGTGTATTCTTTGAACCCTACCCTCCTCCTGTTGTAATCCATGATGATAGAAGTGTGATGTTTTATCTTCAATTTAAGATTCTTCAACCAAATGTTAACAAGCTTCCACTATTTTGGAGATTGTTGGAGATGAACACGGTAATTTTAGGATGTACTCTGTTTTTTGACGTTGTGCGTTAATATTTAATTTGCTTTATTATTTTTTATTCTAATTATTCCTACGCATTTTAATTTTTTAGATTACAATATCATTGAAGATGTGGAAGCCTTTGGGGATGCAGAGAAAGTTTATGTTGAGAATGAATCTATAGGAGAGTCTAGTGATGAACAATCACACTGGTCACCAAGTGATGAATCTTTTTTTTTAGTTTGAAGGGGATTCTTATATTAATCAGTTTGCATCTTCTTTTGATGTTGTTGTTCCTTCTTCTGAATCACATATCCCACCAACTTATATTGCAATGAATGCTATTATCTAAATCGTGTTTTGGATTAGAAACAAGTGCAATGAATAACTTCATATTGTGCAATTTATTGCGCAAGTTATTAAATTTTTCTTCGTTCTAATCGGTCCACTTAATGATCAATAAATTTCCTGTAAGTTTTTTCAATTGTTTTTTCCCATACCCGTACTCCGCAAAGTTAAGTTGTATTGGATGCATTATCTCACTCGTGGTTTGGAAATGAAACAAGTGCAATGGATAACTACATATTTTGCCATGTGTTGCAGTAATTATTTTATTCTTTATCACTCAAATTGTTGGAGTTATTTAACAATAGCTTTCAATGGATATTGATTCCACAGTTTTTATATTGTTTTTCCACATACTTGTAATCCACAAAGTGAAATATTTAGCGATAAATAAGTCCATTCCTATTGCATCGTAATTATTTTATTTTTTAGTTGAAGTTAATTATCACAATTCATGTCATCAAATTCACTCATTTACTTCCTAGAATTTGCATAAACGTTAATCTTTAACTTCATACAATTCCAATCACAAAAGCATTAATCTACGTCCACACCAAGTAGTGCAATAAAATTTTCTCAAAAACCATTTCACTGCACTTTTTAAGTGCAACTCACAAAATAGCAGAACCATCAAACATTAACAACAAAACATTTCACAATTAAACCATTAAACAATCCATAAGTTCAACACACAGAACGATACACATATTCATCAAGTTCTTGAAATTCAAAACTTCCATCAACTAATGTGTAAGCTCTGTACGGCCTTGATTGGGTTGCAGAAACAGGTCACACGTAGTTCATCCATCCCCTCCAAAATGCTTGTTGAACATAACCTCTTGTATACCTGCACCAAACGGATTTCACAATGTTTGCTTCTTCATTACGAAAAATATTGCATTATTAAACTTCATTTATGTGCTCTTAATCACTGCACATACAATCTGTCGTACAATTGAACTCTGTTTTGCTCAACTAAATATGTTCAAGACAACAACTTTCTACACACGAGAACTTCAAAACATATATTACTGATTACGCCATGAATCATTTTGTACAATTGCATTACAGATCATATCATTACACTTACATACACTTTATGTAATCATCATTGCATTAACATATTGCACTTGAACATTACATGGTTCCATTAAAACCAACATATTACTGCCATTCATGGCATAAATCATTACAATCTTGGTCCTATGTATTCCAACTTACATACACTTCATGGAATCATCATTGCATTAACATATTGCACTTGAACATTACATGGTTCCATTAAAACATACATATTACTGCCATGAATCATTTTGTACAATTGCATTACAGATCATATCATTACACTTACATACACTTCATGTAATCATTATTGCATTAACATATTGACTTGAACACTACACGGTTTCATTAAAACAAACATATTACTGCCATTCATGGCATAAATCATTACAATCTTGGTCCTATGTATTCCAACTTTAGTAAATATCATTCACTAATTTTCATCAACAATGCATTCACTACACTGCACATACCTACACCACCGGTTTCATACTCTGCCTTCAAGCACAGTTCACACATAAAAACACATTCAAAGTTCAAACAACTTCGCTACACACATTCATTCATACTTCCAGGTATGATCACCTCGGATAATTATTACAATAACACACTACATAACTCACCACATTGTTGAATGTCACCTCCTCGTAATCTTTCTCTTTTCCTTTTCGGACGCCCCTCGATGTTATCTCTTTGCTTCTCCGTTTCACCATTTTTTCCGGTTCGCTGGTTCTCTGCTTCGCCTAGAGTTGCCGAAATACGATGGTTCCGATATACGTTGGTTGGGGAAATTTAGGGCACAAGGTTTAGGAATCCTTCCTTAATTAAACTACTTACCATAACTGAGCGGCCGAACTCTTCTCTCTAAACGATATAATGAGGGTTTTTAAAATTGAAAGAATCCTATTCTTTCGCTTCCTGATATGCTCTAATTGGAGGTTAATTTCGTCTTTAAATGCAATCATGTAAGCATGGATCGTTTAAATTAATACATGGTTACTCATATATTGGGAAAAAAACTTCATAAATCATAGTTTGAGAAATAGGTTAACTTTTGGTCATATACCCGTATTTTTACCATAATATAATAGTAATCATAATAATTAATATGATAATAAAATTAATAAATCATGTTTGAACTTTTCTGATCTGATCTGAATGTTTCTGATTTGAATGTTTCTGATCTGGTCTAATCTGATCTGAATCTTTCTGATCTGATCTGAATGGTTCTGATCTGATCTGAATCTTTCTAATCTAATCTGAATGTTTCTGAGTTGATCTGAATAAAATAAGAATAAGACAAAGAGAACAACTTCTTACTCCGTATATTGAATGAGAAGAATGGCATTTTTATCTGTATCAAAAGATAAAAATATCAAATATGCTGTTTGTACCAACTCTTATTCCTACTTTTGTACCCACTCATGTTTGTGAAGATTTTTCTTTTTGTCTGTGAAACCCGGTTCACAGACAATACTTTGCACATACAAAATATTATTTGTGAACTAGGTTCAAACACAAAAAACATTTCACAAACATGGTGAATATAAGGTGAGTATAAAAGTGAGTCCATTTACTAAAAACATATGCATACATCTGTGTGTACGGATGATAGATTGATGTTTGTAATATTCATCATATATTTCCATGAACAGCCTCTAACCACGAGACTCTCACATTCCTCCACACATCCCATTTCTCCTTGGATCTCTGGGAGAAAGGACTCATCTTCGAACTTCAGAAGCAAATAAGACACTCTCTGGAAGTTAGCATATCATTCTCCCTCTCCATACCCAGCGTATTTGAGCGTGTAAGTCATCTTTCTACTTCTCTTGTTAAGCGTGTCTGGTAGTTGATTCTGATATGGAATTGTTTTTTTGGATATATGCATATCTTAAAATTTTATTACCTATATATTCATAGGTTGAACTTTAATTACTGTTGGGTGTTGTCAAATGCAGAAAAAACTGTGAATTAGAGGATATTGGTCAGAAATGGCGGGTGATATTGAAGAGCCTTTTAGGCTCAATTTCCATGTAAGAGTGCATGATATTTGTAAATATTTGTTCCGTTGCGACTAATTTTTGTTTAAGAAGTTTATAACTTTCTGGATCTCACATTTTTTTGCTCTATGGAGTGTGATCTCCTTTTCGTATAATTGAGTTCTTCTTTATTCACCCCTCCCCACCCCACCCCACCCTCTTTTCTCTTCTTTTTCAAGACAATGATTTGCTATATTTCCGTGGGGCACTCAAGAGTGGATCACTGATTTGGTATTCATTGATTCCTTTATATATGTCAACGTTTTCTTCTTCTTTGGTTATTATAAAGCAGTGGTTATCTCTTATTTGATTTATCTTGATGTGTTATTCTTGTTAGTATTATTTCAAAAGTGTTGAGCCATCCCAAATCAAGCAAACACATATACAATTTAACATATAAGACATGGGGTTTAATTTTAGTTCAAACGTTACAGGGGGAATCTCTTAGGTCCGGTTCCATATCATTTGGGCGGTTTGAAAACGAAGATTTGTGTTGGGAGAGGAGGTCGTCTTTCTCACACAATAGGTACCTCGAAGAGGTTGAGAAATATTCAAAGCCAGGCTCTGTTACTGAGAAGAAGGCAATTCTCGAGGCCCATTTTAAAAGGCGGGCAGCACTTTCAAGCCAAAGCTCTTCAGAGTCTCATAGCAGCAAGATTGAGTGCCAAACTAGTGGAAATGATCTATTTGAGGATAATGCCAATGAAGCGGTAGACATCAGAGTGACTGAGAGTGGGGGGTATGATGGGGATTTTGAACGGTTCAATGATTGTAGTTATTCCACACAGAGCCATGATGTTGAACCCGAACCGATAGGGTGTGAAAGTGAAGATCGTGGGCTTTATTATTATTGCAACAATGATGATTATGAAACTCATAGTAAACATGGTGATGATACTAGTGGGGTTGTTTGTGAACATTTTCAAGAAGAAGATGATTGTAGTGCAGTTACTGGAAGAACAACAACAACAGTCAACTGTGATGATGAATCAATGCTTCTCACCAATGGGAATGTAAGAGCTGAAAATGTGACATCAAGCACAGTCAGCCTGGTTCCTGCTTCTTATGAAATTGAAAGTGAAATTGAAAAGTGTGCAAGCACCAGTTCAGAGTCACAACAACAAAGTATTTCTCCAAAGGTGTGTTGCATCTTTCATTCTCCTTTACTTTTTTAACTTTTAGTCCTTTTGTTACACGCAGTTGAACATTTCTACTTTAGTCCTCTGGCTAATGTTAGACTTTTGGCATCCTTCTGATTTTTATTTTTGGTCATTTGACTATTGTGGCAATGTCACTTTTGATTCTCCAACCATGGTAAGGATCTATGTCACAATAGTTAGCAGTACATGAAAGGCAAAGTAATTAGAGGGCTAAAAGTAAAAAAAATTAGAAGACGGGCACCAAAAGAATCTACGTCACAATAATCAAAGGACAAATTAGTAAAATGCCAAGCCATTTATAAAAAATTGTCCCACTCCTCAGGGTTGGGGGGGGGGGGGGGTACCATGCCCCGGTCTTAAAATCACCTCCTAAATGGAGGTGTGTGGTCCTATGGAAAAAGATACACGGTCTGGAGTTCTATACTTCTGAGGGGAACGGATTTGTGGAGTGTCCTTCTCATGGACTAAATACTAATAGTTGACTTCCTGAATTAGCATACTCACCTTTTGAGAGCTCATTTGGGGTTGAATTAGGAAAATCCGAACTTAACACATTCTTAACAATTTCTCTACTACTGAACTCCGCGGCTTCCCTATGTATGTGTAATGATGACTAGACTGGATTTTCAGTAATGTCTAGAATGGAATCTCAGTTGCTTAAGTGATTTTTTTTGCGCTTTGGTAAATTAAATCAATTTTTTAATGCTTATGTATCTGTTTTCATATCTGAATAAAAATAGGTGAACTCTGAATCACATTTGAAATCTGGAGCATCTTTACATAATGCTGTTAAGCAAAGAGCAACGTTCCCGAAACAAGATGCCAAGGACCTTACAGGGAAACCTAGAAGGAAGAACTCTGACATTTTAGTCAGGGAGAAACCGGTTTTGCAATCAAGTGCTACTGCTACTAACTGTTCCATTTCAACAACACCAAATTATGAGGTTTCTTTCTCATTTCAGTAGCTAATAGTGCATCTCATTATGGCCTTTTTTTTAGTTTCTACCCCCTTGTCTTTATGAGAGTGTAAGGAAACATTTTGGAACCATATATTACCAGGGAACGGAAAAAATGTGGAAATATTAAAGGATTTTTTTGGTCATTAAATTTATTTTAGATATTTGTTCAAACTACTATTTGTACTCCCTCCGGTTTTTAATAAACTTCACACTTTCCTTTTTGGGACGGTCTAAAATAAACTTCACACTTCCTTATTTCCTTTTTTGGCAAAGAAATCTACATCAAAACAGTGCCAAACAGTGTCAAGCAGTGCCAAACAGTGTCTCTACAGTGCCAAACAGTGTCAAACAGTGTCTTAACAGTGTACTCTACAGTAAAGTCAAATTTCTTTCCTTATTTTGTGTGAAGTCAAAGTGTGAAGATTAAATAAAACTGGAGGAAGTATCATTTGTTTGCCTATTTTTTTTGTATTTATGCAAAGGTAAAATAGTAAATACTCTAAATAGATATCAATATATAGGATTTCGAAAAAAACATAAATGCATTAGTTTTTCCTTTGTATTTTTCAATTTAAAACAAAACAAGAAAATAAATATACGCATCTTTTATGAGGGGTCCAAACACACCCAAATCAATATTTGCATCACATTCTCCTTTAGTGAATACGTCAGATCCCATTGTTACCCCCTTGTAATTTTTTTGTTGGTTTATCATGAACAGGACTCATTTAGTTCAATAAGTAATATTTATGAAGAAAGTACAAGGTAAATTACTGTACTTTTTTAAAGAAAGATATTTATCTCTATATAAAATAACTGCTAATATAGGTTTCACGGATGATATTATATTTTCAATTTGTACCTTTGTAGCACTGAAAAGAAATATAGGACAAAAGAAAAGGTTGTCAAGAATAGGTATCAAAGTCCAAGCAGGCCCAAGTGTGGTGAAAATAGTAAAAGTACACCAGGCATGAAGCAAAGCTGTTCTTCTTTCAGTTTTAAGAGTGAAGAACGTGCAGAGAAGAGAAAGGAGGCAAGTATTTCTGCTTCTATGGTTAGAATATTTTCCTAATAGCTTGTTTGGCTGGGGGATTTTGCAGATTGGAGGGAAAGTTGGATTATGTTTTGCTAGTTTCATCTTCCAATCCCCCAAACCAAACAAGGGTTAAGAGTTTTTAGAATAATTTTAACCAAGATGATTTGGGATTTGTTTCAGTTCCTAATAAAGCTAGAGGAGAAAATGAATGCTAAGGAAGCTGAAATGCATCAACTTCAAGCAAGAAGGCAGGTAATAATGTGTTTTTAACTTTTTACTCCCTGATGTCTTCGATTACATAATTATTTCCCGTTTTAATTTGGTTTTTTTTTAATATCATGTATGAATGATTACAAATTGGTCTACATGCTTGATTCATGCAGGAAAAGTCTGAAGCAGAGATTAGAAGGTTGAGAAAAAGCCTAAATTTCAAAGCAACTCCCTTGCCTTCTTTTTACCATGAAGATGGGCAACATTCAAATAGAAATAAGGTATTTAAATTATGACACAATGTTAGCTTTCATATACCCTTATTTCTAACTTTTAGGTATGTTTGGTCTATAACTTATCACTGTCAGTCTAATGCTTTATATGTGAGTTTGTAATTTTATACGTGGCTGGTGTGGGATGAGACAACACCTTAGCGGGTGGATGGAGAGTATGTAATCATATTTTCCTATGGTCAGTAAATCTATGCCTTTATATACGTTTGAGTTTTTGTGTGAACCGAAGATTAACATAATAAGTAGGTGATCATATAACATTTCCATCTTATATTCATGTAAATACTCCCTGTGTCCCTTTTAAACTTTTATTTAGCCAAACTTGACTTTTCAAATCAATAATATTAAACTTTTATATATTTATACACAGTAATATTGATAATATGAAAATCATATAAAAATGTTCTTTGTTCAAATATTATTATAAAAGTATAAATTTATTAAGTTTCACATAAATATATTAGTTAAAATAGGGGATTGGAAAAGTCAAGTATGTCTAAATAAAAAGGAATAGGGAAACTGTCAAATAGGTCCTTGAACTTTCATAAAAAAGGCGATTTGGGGCGGTTCCCGGTGGAATTTTTTGATGAAATTTTTTGAGCATCTTATTCATCTAGTCTAGTTTACTCATACCAAATTTCAGCTAAAAATTTCATTGGGAACACATTCAAATCAATCCGAGAACGCAAAAATGCGCAGTTATCTTCAAGAATTAATTTGAATGTGTTCCTGATTGAATTTTTAGGTAAAATTTGGTATGAGTAAACTAGACTTGATGAATAAGATGCTCAAAAAATTTCATCAAAAAAATCCACCGGGAACCGCCCCAAATCGCAACGGCCGGACAAAGTCTCCTATAGGACTTAATTGACTTTTTTATGAAAGTTCGAGGACCTATTTGACAGTTTTCCCAAAGGAATAAAAAGGGACGTACGTAGTATGATTTTTTGTAGGGAGGATGCTTTTGGGACACTAAATAGGAAATTGGCTGGTCCACATAGATAATCCACATTCAAAATAAAATTCCAAATATGGTACCTTGTGTGCAATAATGCTACGATTAAGAATATCACTTTACTTGATGAAGGAAACAGTGTTCTATTCTCACAGGTAAGATAAAACGTGCGCATCACTAATAAGAAACTTCAAAGTCAAATTGTCGGTATACTCAAAAGGTCCAAAAGTAGTGTATTATCTACTTTACTCAACAACTTCTTTGTTTGATATGTGAATATCCTGCTCCAGATGTTGTATTAGTCCTCAAAGGTTTGTTTGGAACCGGGAGAAAAATAAAATAGAAGATACTTCAGGAACCCAAAATATAAGATAAAACTTATTTTTTAGATATTTGCTTATTATACTCACTTTAAAACCTAAGAATGTAAATATATTGCCCTTTGCACTTTCCATTGCAGAACATGGGCAATAGACCCAAACCAAGTATGCCGCGCAAGAATCATTCACACCCAACTGACCTGAGCACTTCATTAGCTGCTGAAAACAGCACATCTACATCTGGGGCGACAAAAAACGGGGCCCACTTCGCTCGTAAAGTTCTGAATGCTCCATCACCACAAGCCTCGACCAAACATCGCTCAACAATATCTTCTGATGGCAGCATGTCCTCTTCACAAGTCTGCATGGGTGACAGAAAAAGCCGCAAAATCAAAGTTGTAAAAGAGGATACTAAACGAGGTATCAACTCGCGCAGCAGTAACCGTAGATTCAATTGCCTTGCAGTTGGCGCAGCCTCCTAAAATGTGGTCATATCAAAAGCACTTTACATATATGCATGCATTCTCTCCTTTTATTAACAAAAATGAAATTTTATTAATTAGTTGGTTGAATTAGTTGGTTGTTACTCTGTAATCTGTATGCACTCATGCGAACACCCACATATGTATATATATGGAGCATGTAATTATGTGTAGTTTGAGAGACTTTGTTGTTGGGACATTGGCAAGATGTATTAAAATGCTGCACTAGAAACCATAAATCTAAAGAAATAAAAGGCCACTAAATTAGTGAGCATCCTTTACATTTGGTACAGTAATATTTATCCTGATTATATTTGACTCTGTTCTTTTTGAAGTTTGAACTATTATGGTTACTGTGACACCATCCCACGGTAAGAGGATGGCGACGGTAGAGGAAAATAATTTTTTTTGTTCAGAATCAATACGATTGGGTGTAAATTTATTATCCTTATTATTGACGCTTTTGGAACAACAAAAAAGTTAAGCAAGGCATGTTGAAACTTTAAAAGTGTTGCACTGTTGCTGTATCTGTCGCCTCTCTTATTTGTTGCCCCGCGGCCCTTGCTCGATTGTGAATTTGTGATGTTTGACCCAAGTTTTTTGTTTTTAATTTTGATAATATTAGCAAATAATCACATACTTTAACAGTAAAATAAAAAAAATCTACTCCATATCGAGAGTTTGAAACAAAAAAAAAAACGAATTTAAAAGATTTTTTTCATTGTAGGACCTGATTGATAGGTTGTCTACCAAATACCAATTAAAGGGTCTGTAAACTGATAATTGTAAATATTGGGTATTTATTGTTGAATTCTAGCTACGTAGTACTCCGTATAACTTAAGAATCAAGTTTTTAATTTTCAAACAATTTTCATATTTTTAATTTGTTAAAATTTCTAAAAATTATGTGATGAAAAATTAATAAAAAATAAAAATATCTAAACTCTGATGCGCTAAGCCTTTGATTGATGTTCTTTACCACTAGAGCTATAAATTGATACTCTGAAATCCGTATGATTTATCCTTCAAATTCTAAATTGGTATTGACGCATTTACTGAATCTCGAATAAAAGAATATCCAATTTAGTAATATCAGAATTAGGAATGATTATCAAGTAAGTTACTCGAGATCGACTCGGTCTTACTTGAGCGTAGCTCATCTTTATTCAAACTCAACTCAAACTCAATCAAGTCATTATGAGTGAACATTGATATTTCACATTCATATATATGAGCAGTACATTATATATCCATAGCATGAATCTTTACATAGAAATTATACACATATTCTATTTAAAAATATATTCTAAAAGTGTTGCGCCTATGCGGGCATTAGACATTCCTAGGTGACACTAAAGTAGAGGTAAGCAAGATTAGTCGAGCTTAAATAAATCATATCTGTATAAGCAAGAATTGGTCAGAGAATTTAAAAACACCAGTTTTGTGTTATTAAAATTAATGATGGTCGCACACATGCGTTTAAACGTGATACAAACTATTTATTTAAAAATATACGGAGTACTATGTATTTTTTTGGAATGAATAAAACTCCAATACAACTCGAACTAGATTTGAACTTGAGCTCAACTTAATTCGACGGAACACGAATATAATTCAACTTTTCTTTATCAAGCATGACTGAATGTGAGCTGAACCGGAACCATCATCTATCTTTGCTTCGATTTCTTTCATATTGCGGTAGTCGTTGCAGAAATTATTTTCCATGAAAAAGAAAGCGTTTAGCTAATTAATCATTAATAAACGTATCTTTTTTGGGTCATGTGGTCATCAATCAAACACTAATCACCGCACCAAAGTTTAACAATAGTACCTGCACATGGATAATCTTTCTTCATTGACTAGTAACCTTGTTTTTTTGTACCTATGTGGATTTAATATTATTACTTCCCAAAAGTGATTGGATCATATCAAATATTTAAATCCGCAAATCTTTGTACAAAGGAAAAAATAAATGTTCCACAACTCTGACAACTGTGACAAAGAGTAAAGGGAATGTGTTTCGTGATGGAGCAAATTGTTGTTTTTCTTGGTAATGAATGGGCATTGGTTTTGTCCTATCTTTAAGCTTGAGACTTCCGAGAGCTCCTGACAGTGATTTCCATCCATTTCATGTAACAAGTATTTCTAGTCAAAAAAGGGTTCTTGATGAACACCTTTTTGGTACACACTCACATATGTGAGTTGTTCATGTACTCTGCCGGTTCTATTTTGTATAGACGATTCACCTATTCATTTACAAAGTATATTTGGCTGTGGCAAAAATGTGTACAAAAAAGGTGTACAAAAAATGTCTTCTAAATCATATCATGCATAATCCCTGATTTGCAATGCACTTCTTTGAATCAAATTGAGGCTCTTGATTTGATTTTGTTCGTGACTATGAGTCCTAATAAGAAAAATGAAGCATCGTTAAGTATTTTTTATATGATTTTGGGGCTGGTTACGAAAACTTTTACACAATTTAAGCACAATACACTATACTCGGCAGTAGGCACCAAACATTATTATACTCCGGAAACATTGACTTGATTGGAAAATTCATTTGTTGCCTGCTCTCTTCCAGAATCAAGAACTCATATGACTCTTGTACCCTCACAATACAAAGACTCAATTTGACAATCTTAAATGAGAAATAGCAGTCAACCACCAATAATAACCTCACATTTAGACTCACCGGTTTCCGCCTTACATGTGAGTAGCTCCCCTCAAATAAAGCTTGTATCAAACCATATGAGCAGCCATCAAGGAATGGTCATGATCTCTTCCGCAACAAGAATTGATCCACTACACTTTTGCACCACTGCTATTTACTAATGGGACACGCCACCTAATCACCTCAGTATCCTGAAGACTTTCGATACAATGCACCAACAGTAGATCAAATCACAAGACCAAATCCCGTACACAATGTTCTCATGATGATCTCTTCTCAACCGACACTTGATTTGCAATTCATTTTGTACCGCCGCTGTTTACCAACATGACACGCTGCCTGACCATCACAATACATGTTGCCTGACTATCACAAAATCAGGAAGACTTTCGGTACAACGCACCAACTAACAGATCAAGACAAGAGATCCGACTGAGAAACACCCACACAATGCATTCTAACACTTCGCTTCATATATGTTTGACCCAAACTATAAAGTGAAGCCCATCATATATACCATTAAAGAGTTTGATCTCAAATGCCTCCAACAACACTGCTATCATCACCGTAAGTAAGACGAGATCCATCCCCATGACGAACTCTACCCGCTTATCAATCTCCAACAACTTGGCACTGATACCGCTGTTGGAGAAAACACGACTCCCAACTTCTTCAAGGATCACGAGCTCATAGGACTCTTGTACGCTCACATCACAAAGACTCAATCTGACAATCTTACTTTGTATTATGATTCCCAATTGAAATGTACAGGAGAGATTTATAGGTAAACAGGTAGCTCACCTCACTCTTTGTATATGAGACTGCTTCACTCTCACACTACTCTGTCAAGGGGGCTCTCACTCACTCAAGAGCTCTTTTCAAGGCTCTCTTTCATCACTCAAGGAGGCTCTCCCATCCCAAGGAGAAATGAGGAGTGTCACTCTTATTTATATTTATCTTCTCAAGGTTCTCTAAAACTCTCTATACACTACTACACTTCTAGAATCTTTCAAAAAGTATATACAAACTTCTCTAATCTTTTGGAAGGATCTAGATAAATCCACATTTCTTTTAAGTGTTCTAGAGACTTTCACACATTTTCACATGGTTCTAGAGGATTCTACACTTCTCTAGAAAAATCTATAATGTTCTAGAATATCTACACTCTTTCCCACGCTTCTAGATAATTCCATGTCTCTCTAGAAATCTCTAGAATATTCTAGAACATTTAATATTTCTCTACACACGTCTAGAGAATTGTAGATATATCCCAGTATTGTAGAGTTCTCATTAACTTTTCAATTAAAGAGGGAATGCTTGAGGAATTACGTTTTCTTAGACACCTCCACGGCTCCACTCACGGTGCCGTTAGTTTTAACCTAGGCCCAAGTACATAAGCCCACAACAATATTGAAATTTAGCAGGATTCTCTTCTTCTTAAACAAAAAGGAGCTAAAATGGCGTATCATATTTTCCATCTGGTCGGGCAGGTTGGCCAAGGGTTTATTACTCTGTTGCCTTTCTTCTTAGATGTTGGGTTAAGGTTTAAAGATTTTTTGCAGTAGATTTGTATATATCTGCTTCTCAAGTCTTTTGGGGGAAATTGCATTTTCGAGATCTCAAATAGTATTCACATTGAAATGTAATCTCTGTATTTTTGATTTTATAAATGTCACCTCTCAATTGTCCGAATTGTTGTAAATATGATCATTGCCATTAAATCTGAACTGACATCGTTAACATTTACTCCCTCCGTCCCATTTAAAGGTCCCCGTCCACTATTCTCCGGTCAACGTGAATTGTTCTTAATCTTTTACTTTATATATCCAACTTTTATCAAATTTAATTTTTCTTGATCAAGTATTACAAAACTTTTAATGTAGTTTCTGAATATGTAAATTTTATTTACTAAAAATAATCTTATTAATGATAGAGATCAATTAACTTTATGGTCAGTAAAACATCATAAACTGCGTGAGGATCTTTAAGTGGGACATAGGGAGTATAACTTTTGATATGAGTAGGTTATAACTTAAATTATAATGATGTAAAAGTTCATTTTATCGGTTGAAAAAATTACATCACAGAAAAAAATCGATTGAAAAAATCCAATTTTATAGGTAATAAATGTCCAACAAAGACAAAAATGTCTCCAAAATGACCAAAAAATTATACTCCCTCCGTCCCATTTTAAGGTTGTGACTTTCCTTGGTTGGACGTCTCACTTAAAGGTTCTCACTTTTCATTTTAGGAATCAATTGGCACTCTTAAATGACAATTTAATCATCAAATACTAAAAAAATACATTTAGCATATTTAATCACAGTTATCATCAATAACTCATTATATTATATACTCATCGAAATTATTTCTCAAAATAAACTCGAATTAGCATATTTAAATTTTGTCTAAATAATCGTGTCATTTTGCCACGGGAACCTTTAAATGCGACGGAAAGAATATCATTTTCGTACACATTGTCGAAATTCTTTCCACAAACATTTTCGGTAAAAGTAGATGACAAGCAATAATGTCGATCGCAAAAATCAAAAGTTTCAAAAGTACGTGAGGAATGTATATGAACGTGTGAGTTCGTGCGTTGTTGCAAAACACCTGCCAACTAC